AGTAGCGCTGAGCCATGGAGATTTCTAAGTCTGATGGGAAAGAGGGCGCTGCTCGCTTTTGGAGGTATTTTGCTAGTGACGAGGAGACCTATAAACTCATCTGAACACATGGAATGATAATCAGCGAAGCTTACACAGGCCACCTTCTGAGGGCCTCCTGTGAAGCTAATACAGCCATACCATAAGGACTCAGTCCATTTCACAGTTTTGAGAGAGTAAAGAAGTTGTTACCAAGGTGAGCGAATAAAAGGAACTGAAATGCTCTCCCCCGCTTAAGCGAACAGCTCCGGCAAAGAGTTGTTGTGGGTGAGCCAATTTTTCAGGCAAAATGGTTTCCCGAGCTATTACACCCATGACCCAATCTTACTAGTACTCCGAACGCTGAACTGCGTACAAAACTGGAAACAAAGTGGCCAGTAACGCTCCCTACTGTCTCCCTAGCTGAAAGAGAATTCTCAAGAGAGTAAAACATTAAATTTTCGACTTCACAAGCATAAATAACGTTATTAAATCACGGAGCAAGAAGATAAGAGTTGTTCTCGAGGTGAGGTGAACCAGGTGCAAGAAACAACTAGATTTTGAAGGAAGAAACGCGTTTCGCGTCCCTCAGCACAGTTTTGGCGTCGATTACGAGGCATCTCTAATGTCGACTGCACACACCGTCAACAACGTCTCCATACAGTACTCTTAAATCGTCTCGGGTGATTCACGTAGTTTGTGTTGAATGGCTTCGGAAATGTTTTTTCTACAGAGGATTGGCAGATAGGGATCTTCTGGGCCATACAAAAAAGTTGAATTTAATTCCTCTCGCTGGGCATTATCGTTGCAAACATTACTGACTGTAAGTTCACTGGTTAATATACGAACTTTTTAGTATGGGAAATGTTGGCAATTGCTTGGAACGATTACTTCTCCTAATGTAAAACGTTTGGATGCTGCTATCCATCATAGTAATTTGTCAGATAAAAATGGTAAGGTAGCGCCGTGGACAAAACGGGCAGGATCATTTTTGGATCACCAGTTTTCAGGGTGTTAGTGCTCGTCGTTATATCACCGATATATTCAAGCCTCTCATCTACGAGGTGAATATAGTAAAACGTTCAGAAAGTACTCTTTCATAGAGCACCTTTGCGGCACTCGGTTCGACTCCGTGTGGGTCACTGGCTGTGTGCGCCGCCATCGTGCGAGTGGCCTCGGTTCTGTCCCGCGATCTGTGATGAATCATGTATTATCCGATTACTGTGAAGTAAACTTTGCTCCAGAATTACACAGAGATCTGCTTTTGCATTATGTAAATTCGGTTCACTGCCAAAAAAAAACTCGCTTTTATGGAGATTCACGTCTGCCCATAGATTCACTTCATAAGGTAGGAGTGAAAGCAGCCTCAGGCTTCATCTTGTACAGGCAAGTCACGCTGAATGTTAGTGACCCCAACGCAAAGAAGGGGGGGGGGAGGAGCGGTAGAACGTGCGAATGCAATAGTTTTTGATTGTTGACTTTTTCGTTTCACACGCGCTATATACACATTACCCTCGCCGGAGTCTTTTCGGGAGGTGGGGAGGCATTTTACAAATCCCTAAACCTTCCCCCAAACTAGGGCGTGTCTAAGGCACTTATGAAGGCATGAAACGAGGATAAAACTCCACTTAACGCATACGAGCTTCACTCTCAATCGAAAATAGTCCACTGATATGACATATTTCTGATTAATATGACAAATTGTGAGGGCCAATGTAAGATTCAGTATCCTTACACTCCCAGACAAACCTGGTTCTAGCTCCAGTCTTTTTCCAAGCAAAAGAGCGTGTGTTAAGGAGGTTAGATCTGCCACTGTAGCATTTTCCACCATTCGTTGCCGGCTCAGGAAGACACCAATCGTCAACTGGCGGAAAAGGTTGCCTTGACTGCGCTGCAATCCCTGCCTACCCCCCTCCACCCCCTCCTCACTCACACGCCTAAATGTTGATCAGCAATACATGACTTGTGAATTACTTTATTCCTAAGACAGTATACAACATCTATACAATGGAAATGATAGTTTCGTGACGGTCATCCACAACATCCTTGCACTTTTGGGCTCAGACCCGATCGTTTAGTGATGTGTATTTTTATGAATTCTTCTGAACTACACGGATGAATCGCTATCGTATCTGAAACAGGCTTATATGGCTCGTATTTGATACTTAGATATCAAAAATAAATAGGGAATAGAAAACAAATTGATATCTATGAAAATGAACGATCACAAGGACGATGGGTCATTGGCCAAAGTTTTGACCCAAGGACCCAAGGCGAGTCTCGAATGCGCAATTCACGATTTCCGAGCGACTACGCTATGGGTTGCGCCACCAGGGCCGCTTCTTACTCTTTCAATTCACTAGCTTTAGTGCCATAGCCTAACAGCAGTCATACGTTTAACGAGATAAGCCGCTTAACCTCAGCAGTGAACCACGAGAATGAAGGCTTTACGGGTTCCCATGTAGTTTTGTTATGATAATTTCAGCGTTAAACTGCAGTCATCGTAATAGTGTAAAAAATGTCAACAGATAGAAGAAAAAAAAGCAGTATCAGAAGGAATATGCTCGAGACGTCCAGGCATCTCATTCCTACCATTTAGTTGCTCGAAAGTGATGCCAGCATTCAGTGCTACAGCATAACCCTGGATGATCTCGGCCGCATTCGGACCGACGATATGCATGCCAAGGACTTTACGCGGCGAATTGCGCAGGCAAATCACCTGAACATGCAAAAAGGACACTTTATTGGAGATGCAAAATGAAAAAGTCATATTAT